GATTTACTTTTTTTAATCTTTTGTAAACTTTGTACTTTAATTTAATAAATATGACTAAATTTTTATTTTGTACTTGCATTATGTTTTTTTTTTTTTTCAATTCCTTTCTTATTATATTACGATTAAGTTAATTTGAACAGTGGGATTATAAAGTATCGATAAATATAATGATTTGAAGTAATTATAATAAATAATGTGTTTATATTGATTAAACCATTTTAAATTGAAATTAAAATGAGATAATATTTGATAATAATATTTTTGAACTCTCGACACTAGTCCGTTATTCTAACAATAATCAAGGTCCTCTGCCTTGACCGCTATTATAACAACATTTAAATATAAACTAAGCGTTCGGGTTAATATTAAGAAATGTACTGATTAAAAACTAGTTACAGGACTATATCTTTGGAGTGACTGGTATTATGAGACGTACAATTGATAACTTTCAGACATTGACCAGTGATACAACATTGAACAAATCTATAAGAATCTGTTCCATTTATTTTATACGGTTCACAAATCTGGTCCTGGAACCATTTGTTCTAAATTTTTAACAAAAGCAATAAAACTATATCTACCAATATATTTCTTCTTATAAATGGTGTATTGTTGTGTAATAAAATTTTATTGTTATAAACAATTAGAGCCATTATAAATTAATAATTTTTTTTAAAATCAGATTAACATTTTTAAAAGTTCACATGTAAATCAACACTTAGTAACATTTATAGTAAGATTATTTTTTTAAATTATTGATTAAAACGTTTTTTATTGAGGAAAATTATTTTAAAATTATTTAAAATTTAAATCATACGTAAAAGGAAATGTAAAAATTGAAGTAATTTAGGAATTATAAGTATGGACAAGTTCTGGATTGCAGCAATTATAAAGTGTTCATTAAAAAACTTTAAACAATAGTTATTTCCGTTATTTATATTTATTAACGACTTGATTTCTACAATAAAATTTCTTAATTTGTATCGAAACTGTTTTTGAACAAGACCCATAAAACTTACGGGTTTGCACCTAATCTAGGTTTAACGTGATTCGTGATTATAGTCTAGTCTATAGCACTTAATTCGAGTCAAAATTTTTCCAACACAACAGATTTACCAAATATTACGTCCTGAAGTTTGAGAACGCTTATTTTCGGATTTGTTCAAATTTCGTTGATCTGTGTTCCATAACAAATAATTTTTTAATTGAAATCCATTACTAAGTAATTCCTTAAACATTTAAAAATTTGTCTTCATTCATTAGGTGAAAACTTGAATGTAAAATATTTACAATTTGTTTGTTTATTTTATATTTGAATTTAATTAACAAATGTTTAAATCATTCAATACCTGTATGAATTTCATTAAAAATGAATGCAATACTGAATGAACTCAACAATGAATGCTTCCATAAAAAAATATTTGAATAAATCTAAAGAATAAGGTTTCTTGGGAATATTTTTATGAAAGGTAAATATCTCAATTTGTATTAAATATAATTTGTTTTACATATACATACATATATTTAATTATTTTCCAATTAAAACCGGGTCAATTAATAGACCTTTAAATTAAATACATAATTAATACAAAATTAAAAAAAAAAGTAATTATTGTGCCTATTTGTTGTTGCTAAAAATAGTACGTGCCGTTTTTTAAGAATAAAATTATTTTAATGTAACACTATAAAAAACAACGAGGGCAATGGACTTGATTTACAACTGGACTTATATATCAAATGCAAACGAAAAAAAAATTATAAGTACTACTTATATTGTATATAATAAAAGTCTTATAAATATTAACTAACAACAAAAAAATAACAATAATAAAAATACAAATTCGTCATAGTTAAACAATGATATGAAAAGGCTTTTGTTACATTTATAAATAAAACATTTGTAAAAGTAATTTTACAATAAATATTACATTTACTACTTGCTTTTGTTAAATTAATGAATTTAAATTTTTTTTATAAATTACAAGAATTGTTAAAATATTGTTGAATATGTTTATGAACAAATTTTAACGGTAATTTTCGTCAAATATTTGATGATGAGAACAAAGCTTAATCATTTTAATGAAAATGTTTTGCTGATTTTACAAAAACTAAAAGTATACTTAAATTGAAAATTAATATAAAACTTTTTAATCTAATATAAATAATTTTATTACAGATTTTAGAAAAACAATATTAAATTATTTACGTCATTAAATAAGAGAGTGCAGAATATTTTTATTGTTTCAAGATTGACGTGAGTTCTTTTATTGTAATTATTTGTATTGTATAATGAATTGCAATCAATAATTTTTAATTTGCATAATTTTTTAAATAAAATATTTATTAATCTTATTTAATAGGCTAATTTAATTTGCACTAAATATTTATGCAACTTTCGAAAAAAGCGTGTTGATTATTTTATTTTTTTAACTAAGATGCTACGATGTTATTAGATAATTATTTGATTTTTTTAGTAATATTTAAGAATATTTCGTGTAAAATACGAAGTTTTACGAAAGTAAGAAATTATTACATGTTTTTTCGAACATACAATGAAAATAATCCTTGCTTAACTTTACGAAAAAAATAATCGTAACTACTTTTTTGGTAATATTATGATAATTTTGTACATAATACGAAATATTTAATAAAACCCTTTTCGAACTTTACGAAAAGAAATATATACAGAAATTGTTAATTATTTTACGAAAACAATTTCGTTTATTCGTAGCAAAATTATTTCGTGATTTTAAAGAACATTTCTTGTATATTACGAAATAATTTCATTAAAATAAAGTTTCATTCTTTCTTAATATTAAAAAAAAGCGTTTAAAATTTTATAATAATTGTTCGTGCAATAACGCCGACATTTTTGGATGCTATAAAATTTATATAATTTCTTTTAAATTGCCATTTTAATTGTCAAAAAAAACTTTGATGCTAAACCTCGTATTTTTATTTTTAGCTTAAAATTTGAGCTTTGACATAAAATAAAAAATTAATACAAACCGCGTTTGGTTTATGGTTTGTCAAATAATATAAATTACACGTATTTTAATATTTAAAACGTAATTGAATATTTAACTAATTATATTGTAATACTCTACTCTTAATTTATAATAAAAAAACAATTAAAAAGATATAAAACAAAAAAATATGAGCTAAAAATAAACACTTTAAATGCAAAATACGCATTTGACTGGATAATGTTCAAAATTGTAATAAAAAAATTTAGGTCAGTTTTTTTCAAAACTTAAGTACAAATGCTCTTCATAGGTAGAACTATTACTTGTAATTTAAGTATTAGCAATTAAATTATTATTTGTAATTGTAATCTTACTTGTATTTAATTGATAATTAAATTTTATAAAAAATTAACTGCATTCGTTACTATTACCTTTTCTGAATTGTGTAATTTTGAACTGTTTCGCATTACATTAAATTAAATGTAATTGATTATAAATACTTTACTTGTATTTAATTGATAGATTGAAGTTTATACCAAAAAGTAACTGTCAAAGTATCATTATATTTTTGCATTCGTTACTATTACTTTTTCTGAATTGTGTATTTAGTTAGTTAGTTTGAAAGGAGGATGTATATAATTCAAATCCGAAGAAATACAACCTAGGCCTCTATCGGGCCTGTTGTGCGCTCCTTAACCAGTGCCTCAGGTGGGAATCGAATCCACCGCCTCTGGTCTACCAGACTAGAACACTAACCACTAACCTACCGGAGGCCACAATTGTGTAATTTAGAACTGTTTTCCATTACAATTGAATGTAATTGGTAATATGTAGTTTAATTACAATTGTACATTACAAGTAATTGTAATTGAATATGTAATGAATTACTTAATGTAATCATGACCATTACCAATAATCGTGTTTTGAAATAATATATTTGTGAAATAAAAGTAAATCAAAATCAATTTTAAAACTTTTTTATTTTTGAGTTATTTCTGTCTAAAATCAACCGAAAACTGAGCGAAACCCAAGTACAATATTGTTCGAAACCGAAGCACTTTTATGAGTATGCAAACAATCAAAACTGATTTCAATTTATAATTTTCATTAATTTTTAATTCGGCTTAAAATTTTCGAATTCATCACCTTTTTTAAATCAATCTCTGGATGTTTCAAAAAGCTTAATTCTTTAATTTCCAGAGAATTCATTCTTTATGGAATGAGTAAGTGAATGTTTTTTAATTCCTTTTATCATAATTTGAATGAAATTCCGTTTAAAAAAGTTTTAAAAAATTTTAAAAACAAAATTTTTATTCAATCTATTTCAGTTGTTCATTCAATTTGTAATAGATGGATGAATTTAAAATTATATGGGAATGTTTGCAATTCTTTTTAATTCAATTTGTAATAGATCGAAAAGGATTATTCATTCATTAATGAATGGATTCTTGAAATTAAAGCACAGGAAATAAAATACGTTTGAAGAAAGTGTAATAATAATTTCGATATTTTGGTGATTTTTTACAAACCGATTTAAATAGAATATTTGATTACATTGTGAGAAAAAATTGCTTAAATTTCGACCAATACTGTATACCGTTACAAAAGTAAAATGTTCAAATTCTTACCTGGTCTTAGCATATAACAAATAAGTAGAAACGCCAATGAGGCCGCTTCAGCACATCCCAACAGAGAGAACTCTAGAGCTCCCTGTAGAAAATTGAAGACTGTTGTTATCATGACGTGGGCCGTGCCCAGGAAACGCGGAAAGAGGGGAAGGGAGGATAGGATAGTGGTATGATAGGAGACGGGCGGATTAATATTATAAAATATTAAATAAAAAGGATTCTAAAACATGAACTTTGTTCGTATTTTTGGGTGGATAGAGTATAAAAGGAAACAAGAAAAGTATGTGGAAGAAAAGAATTGTTTTGTGTTGTTGCCGGTTTTATGCTGCAGCTGAGTGTTCGGCTGATGTCTGCTGTTGTTGCTTTATGATTTATATTGTTTATTGTTGTTGTTTTTTTACTGCACTTTGTACTTTAAACTATTTTATTTTTTCAGTAAGTTTTTTATAGTTTTTTTTTGTAATGATTATATGTTTTATTGTGGTTTTTGTTGTTAAAATTTATAGTTATCAAATGTTACGTTCATTTTTTTCTGCCAGCCCATTGCCGTAGTGCAGGGAATGTTTTTGTTGTTTTAAATTTTTAATAATTCGTTTTTTATTTATTGATAAGAATTAGTGTTTTTGCAGTTGTTGCTATAGTTATCACTCTGCAAAATCAAATTGGAATAAATTGAGATGCTGTTATATTCATTTTTTTTTTGTATTTTAACTTAAAAGTGCAAAATGTTAAGCCGCAAAAAATCTTTATACACTGTGTTAAATTCGTTTAAATGCGCAGTACATTTTAGTGTGACAGTTCATTGTCATGAGATTTAATTAAAATTGTAATATTTCATTAAAATGTATTTACTTTATTAGATTAAACATTTTACTTGATAAAAGGATGCCGAACTATTTCTATCAATAGAATTGGTTAAAAAATTGTTGAATTCATTTTGGAAATGCAGCGATAAGAATTATAATTTACTGAATTAAAAGCCAGAAATTATTATATAAAAAATAAAAAAATAATTGGGGAACCCATTTTTCGAAGATTTGATAACCTACTACACAACAACTACATAATTTATACTAATGTAGGGTATCCTTAACCAGCCTGGATCCTTTCTATACATACTTTAATTGTTTAAATCCAATAAACTGTTACCTAGAAAATCTCAAACAATCCTGAAACCCTGAACTTGTGTAGGTACACCTAAAATTTTAAACAACAAACCTTAAAAGGTCGCAACTATTTAAAACACGTTCTTTAAAAGAACAAAAAAGAAGAAACTTGTATGTTAAACGAATTCCACAGAGTGTATGATGATGGTTGGAAGACGCCAAAATCTGACAACCGCCACCGTATACTATTTTTTTTTTTTTGTATTTTGTATACATTTGCGTTTTATTTCATTAAATACACAAGAGTATAAAAAATTAAATAAATAAAATAAAATGTATAAAAAATCAGTAGTAGAACAAACTAAAAATGAAAACAAAAAAATATATAAAAATATCGTATGATCGGCAAAATGTTTTTGTTTGTTTTCATTTTGTAGACGTTTTGTCTTTTTTGTCTTGTTTTTATTTTATTTTTTATTTATATTACTCTTTAACACTTTGTTGTTGTTGTTTTGCAGTAAATTGCACATGAACACTCATACACACTTTCAAACAAAGTAAAAATGGCAACAACAATAACTGCTCAACATTTATGCAACTTTTAGGATTTGTTTGTAATTTTCTTTCTTCGCAGGAAAGTTAATCAAGTTAAGTTTTTTTTTTTTTTGTTTAAATTTATGTGTATAACCAACTATACATACAAATCATAATCATGATTTGTATAAATAACTCTTCTGTAATTTTCATCTTACTGCTTTAACTTAACAACCGGCATGCAAAAATATGTTTAAAAACACCAACCATTAATTTGTTTCTCATAAATAGTTATTACACTTTTTAATTATTTTTTGTCTAATTTTTGGTTAAATAATTTGTTATACTTTCTTTTACATCACTTCTTTTTTGTTAATAACAAAAGCAACAAATTAATTTTTTAAAAACACACAAAATATCGTTTTAATTTATTATTGGCCTGTCTGCCTTCACAGACATATTAACCACCACCGTTCCAGACAAGCTTTACGTTTAAAATGTTTGCTTTAGCTCAATAACTCTTGTTTATTAATTAATTTTCAATTAGAATTTATTTATATTTTCTTTTATTTCGCTATTTTTTCACTCTGTGTACGACACGACACATTGTTGTATCTTCTACTACGTCTGATTTACTTCAATTCAATTATAATACAACGACAACAATAAATAATAAAAACCAACAAATTTGTACTCGTACTTATAGTGGAGATCCCAAACACAAAGAGCGCAAAAAATAAAAACCACTTTCTTTGCATATCAGCGCAGTAATGATAATTGCGGTTACAAAAAAGTACTTTTATTTTGTAATACATACTATTTGGTTTAAGTACTAAATGTTCGAATTATATCTGATAGATAGATAGATAGATAGATAGATATAGATATAGATAGATAGATAGATAGATAGATAGATAGATAGATAGATAGATAGATAGATGATATAGATAGATAGATAGATAGATAGATAGATAGATAGATAGATAGATAGATAGATAGATAGATATAGATAGATATAGATCGCTCGCTCCTCGCTCGCTCGCTCGCTCGCTCGCTCGCTCGCTCGCTCGCTCGCTCGCTCGCTCGCTCGCTCGCTCGCTCGCTCGCTCGCTCGCTCGCTCGCTCGCTCCTCGCTCGCTCGCTCGCTCGCTCGCTCGCTCGCTCGCTCCTCGCTCGCTCGCTCGCTCGCTCGCTCGCTCGCTCGCTCGCTCGCTCGCTCGCTCGCTCGCTCGCTCGCTCGCTCGCTCGCTCGCTCGCTCGCTCGCTCGCTCGCTCGCTCTCTCGCTCGCGCTCGCTCGCTCGCTCGCTCGCTCGCTCGCTCGCTCGCTCGCTCGCTCGCTCGCTCGCTCGCTCGCTCGCTCGCTCGCTCGCTCGTTCGGTCGGTCGCTCGCTCGCTCGCTCGCTCGCTCGCTCGCTCGCTCGCTCGCTCGCTCGCTCGCTCGCTCGCTCGCTCGCTCGCTCGCTCGCTCGCTCGCTCGCTCGCTCGCTCGCTCGCTCGCTCGCTCGCTCGCTCGCTCGCTCGCTCGCTCGCTCGCTCGCTCGCTCGCTCGCTCGCTCGCTCGCTCGCTCGCTCGCTCGCTCGCTCGCTCGCTCGCTCGCTCGCTCGCTCGCTCGCTCGCTCGCTCGCTCGCTCGCTCGCTCGCTCGCTCGCTCGCTCGCTCGCCTCGCTCGCTCGCTCGCTCGCTCGCTCGCTCGCTCCTCGCTCGCTCGCTCGTCGCTCGCTCGCTCGCTCGCTAGCTCGCTCGCTCGCTCCTCGCTCGCCTCGCTCGCTCGCTCGCTCGCTCGCTCGCTCGCTCGCTCGCTCGCTCGTCGCTCGCTCGCTCGCTCGCTCGCTCGCTCGCTCGCTCGCTCGCTCGCTCGCTCGCTCGCTCGCTCTCTCGCTCGCTCGCTACGCTCGCTCGCTCGCTCGCTCGCTCTCCCTCTTCCTGGCTGCGTGGCCCCCCCTTTCTCGCCCCCTTTCCCCCTTGCTTTTTCTTGCCCCTCTCCTTTCTTTTTCCCCCCCTCCCTTTCGCCCCCTTTTTGGCCCTGTTTTCCCGTTTCCTGTCCTCCCGTCCTTTCCGTTCGTCCTCCTCCTCTCCCCTCCCCTCCCCCTTTCTTTTTTCCCTTCCCCTTCCGCCTCTCTTTTCCCTTCTTTTACTCTCTCCTATCTTTTACTTATTTTTAATTGATTAATACTAGTACTAAGTACTAAGGTAACGTGGGTTGTGTACAGAATAATCAAAATGTATTTGCACGAGTTTGTTTTTGTCTTTCTATTATATTTTCATCATCATCAGAACATACCCACGACGACAACATAAAATCGAATAGAATACATTGTATGTTGTACATTCGAGAGATTTTGATAAGGAAAAATACATATTGATAATGAAAAAATTTATGATGTTGGTGTGAAGAACATTTAAATTAATTCATAGAGTTTTTGTCGGTCATAGGCTTTCTTTTTTATTAAAATAATTTCCTTTCGCACAGCTTCTTAAAATTTTGTATGGTTTCTCCTGTGTTATCTGTATAAATGGCATAAAAATTACTCTTTTTGTTTTCATCTCTCTTTGTATTTAAAATACAATATGTATGAAAATTTGTATTTCAGTTTATTTTTAATGGAAAATTACTTAAATATTTTTGTTGGATGTTGCAGATCTACTATGTATGTATGTACTTCGTGATGCATAAAGAGAATAAATACATTCATACTGTAATTGCTTTGTAATTACTTTATGCAAAATATATAAACAACAAAGTTTAAAGATTTCAAGATCAATGTTTTATTTTCTTCTGACATACTAAAATTAGATTTGTATTTTACATATTTGTAAGGGAGTTTATTCCAATATAAAGTATTTTACTATTCGTCTATTATCTATTAAATGAAACGTATACTTATTTGATTTTAATTAGAAATTTAATTATTAATCATACGCCATATAATGATGACATATGGCCTGTTATTTTTGGGGAAAATTTTCGAAATCATTAAAAATTCAAATAATAAATACAACATTCATATCATAAATCAATTTATTTAAAAACTACATTAAATTAAAACTAATCTTTGATTATTTTTTAAATATTAGACGGTAAATTTTAAAATACAATTAAAATAAGTACCTAAAAATTTTAGAGAAAATTTAGTAAAAACAAATTATATCGCTACATACATATACTTTTCGAAAAAAGTCGAAAAAAGTCGAAAAGTCGGAAAAAGTCGAAAAGTCGGAAAAAGTCGAAAAGTCGAAAAAAGTCGAAAAGTCGAAAATAGTCGAAAATTTTAAAAAAGTGGAAAAGAGGTCAAAAACTCTAAAATAGTCGGAAAAACTCGAAAAAAGTAAAAAATAGTCGAAAAAAGTCGAAATAAGTCGAAAATAGTCAAAAAGTCGTAAAAAAATCGAAAAGTCGAAAAGTCGGAAAGAGTCGAAAAGTTGAAAAAAGTCGGAAAAAGTCGAAAAAAAGTCGAAAAGTCGAAAAAAGTCGAAAAGTCGAAAAAAGTCGGAAAAAGTCGAAAAAAGTCGGAAAAAGTCGAATAGTCGGAAAAAGTCGAAAAGTCGACCATTTATAAATACTAAAAGTCGAAAAGTCTAAAAGTCGACTTTTAAATAAATGAAAAAGGTCGAAAAGTCGAAAAATCGACTTTTCATAAAATGGAAAAAGTCGAAAGGTCGAAAAGTCGACTTTTAACTAAATGCAAAAAGTCGAAAAGTCGACTTTTCGTTTCAACTATAGAACCCTAGTTACGATCGTAATGCAGAATACACACAATCGTTAAGCATTGAAACAAAATGGAAATGCTTCTTCTTTTTCATACGATTCCGTTTCTTGTTGGAATAGAAATTTTCGATCGTAGCGTAACTGAATGCGGAAAACGTAATCGAAATGTTGCATAGGGGTGATTATATAAATTTTGAAAGCTTAAATATGTATACCCTTCTCACGAAGGTGGAGGGTTAATAAAAGAGTTGCACAGAATTTCATTCCAAACGGAAGTGGAATTATGTTCGTATTTTGCTAAAACAAATCCACCTTTTTCAAAATGGATTTGATATTTGTTTGTAATTAATACATTTTTCTCACATTTTTATATCCTTCACATTTATGAGAAGGGTATATCGTCGCCTGAAACGCAAACGGCCCAAACTAACCAAAAATTCAAAATCGATTTTATTGTTGATTCTAATGTATTGCATCAAAACAAATGTCCACTCCTCCAACCAAAATTATCGATATTATTGACAAAATACAAAAGGCCCTATCTACAAAAACATTTAAATGTTGAAGGTAAAAAGTCCAATATATCCATTTTTATATACGCCATTGTCAACTATCATAACAAAGTATAGGTTTCACTATTAAACAATTTATTTAATTACTACAAACAATTCGCGCTGATAGAAACAAACTTTTCAATTTAAATAGTTTTTTGCACCTCCAGTAAAATTTTTAAAATGTTAGATATTACCGTTTGCGTTTTAGCTGACGATATACATACAGTATTGTTCGAAACCTAAGCAACTTTTTTTGGCATTGTATACAAAGTGCTATATTTTCTATTTTAATTGATTTATTCAAAATTATATAATTGATAATAATATAGTATGTGTCTACATTATAATAACAACAACAAAAGTTTAAATCCATTTCGCTGTGAGTTATAAGAAAATAATAACTGAATTAACTCCATAAATAGCTGTTCGAAACTGAAGCAACTTTTTGATCTTCATATGAAAATCTTTGATCCTTTTGAGTTCCAAACACATTTATGGAATAGATTAGTTACTAGTGTAGTTCGTAATGAATCCCAATCGGATTTTAAGCCACTCGCCAGCTGTAATGTTTTCTAAAACCGCGAGTTTCAATGTACTTAATCCTTTGGTTTATTTTGTTGGCCAAAAATGTCCCAGAAAGTAAAACAATCCAATTTATTTGTATTTCAACATCAGGACTTACTCTACTCACTAAAAATCTTGCCCCATAACCTAAAATTTTGCTCTCTATTCATTATTGGGCCTTTACTAAAAGCGTATATTGTAATATTTCCTTCAGCCTCTGAGGCTCGCATACTCTGTTTGAATTTAAGACGGAAAATGTGGACCCGTTTGTAAATAAAACTGTTTTTATTAGTCTTGCGTAATCTATTTCAATATTCTACCCAAAATTGTACAAAATTTTTGAAAAAATCGAATTTCTTTAAGTAAACTCTGTGCCATGTCACTGCGGGATTCATATGCGGTTACATCATCGTACATTAAAGACTTAAAAAAG